TTCGAGACTGAGCTGTCCTGTGCCAAACACAGTGGCTGGGCATGTTCGCCAGGCAGCAGCTGGCCACTCTTTTGTGCCTGGAAATTCAGGAAAAAATGTCAGTAGCATAGCTCAGGAGGAAGTGCCAGAGTGGGCAGCTCTCTTCAGCATTGAGTTATTTCAGTTCCCTTTCAAGTGGTGGGAACGTTTCCCACCCAAGCAGGCTGTGCCAGCAGCAAGTGCTCCTGGCAATCCAACCTGGCCAAGCTCACTCGCTCTGTCAGGAACTCTCAACTGACTTGTTGCCATTCAGTCCCACAGAGGTCAATGCAGAGCCTCTTAGCCAGATTCTTCCTTCTGAAACACCTTTTAACTTCCAGGCAGTATCAAATCTCAGGTCACACTCAGATGGCCTGAGGCTCTGTGGTTAACTAAGTCAAATGGCCTCCACTCAAGGTGCTTTTAGGCATTACAGTTTCCTCTTGAGGGTTCAGGTCTTTCCAGTAAATCTAAGCTTTTTAAAGCTGGAACTTAGTACTGTGAAGTCTTGAGCTGGGGGAATCTATAGGTTACCTCTTGGTTGGTTGTACGTCTACGTAACAGAGCACAGTAATTCTGCTGGGATCTGAAGGCACGGTTAATACTGGCTGCTCTTACTCTTTCTCAGCTCTAGGACTGAGCACTGCTGTCTACCAGGGTTTGCCAAATACAGTCACCAAGAGAAAATCAGTGCTAAACAGTGTCTACATTCAAGAACAACAACAGGGTGGGAAGCAGAACGCCTCCCTGGAGACTTGGTGACTGTAGGCTGTCATCCTTTAGCTTCTCATGAAGGTTTTAAGCTACCTAAGAGTCTGTCTTTCAAGATGTAGTGTAAGTAATTTCACAGAAAGTGAGGGACCTTGCCCAGCTCTGAGATAGTGTGCCCCAGCCATCTGCAATGGGACAGAGAGGTGGGTGCATGCGAAACCTCTCCTGCCCTGTGCTTGTGGATATCTCTGCATTGCTTGACAGCAAAAAAGTCACACTTTGCCTGAGACCTAGTGCAGTCCACACTGAGATCCACAGGAGTCTCACCTTCTTCCTGCCCTGCATCCTGAGACACTTCTGTGTTGTTTTGTGACACTGATACTCAGCAGGGCAGATAGACCCATGGAAACTTTGGCTGCTCTTTGCCTCTCCTTCTAGCTCTCAATGCCTGAGGCATCTCTTCTCCAAAAGAGTCTTATCATGGGGTCCTCTGTTTTGCTCTGTTGGGTTTGCAATCCACAGTGGTGAAACAAGATGTGGAGGGATGGGATATGTTTGTTTTGCACACGTGGAAAGGGGGTGGAGTGAAAATACAATGGGATGAGACTGTTCCTTATAGAGAAGAGCTGGACCAACTCAGAGTGCAATGAAAATGCTACCCATGGCTTAGAGACAGAACAATAATGAATATAGTCAACCACCACTGTCAGGCACAGGGCAATCAATCTCTACCTTCTGTGACCCAAGTACTTTTCTGAGCTGCTTCCTCCCACCTTCTCTGCTTTGATTCTCTCAGCACCTGCTGTATTAAAAATACAATTGCACCCTAGAAAAATGACGGATTTAGACTCTGTCACTCTACTGATGACCTTTAGATTTAAGACTGGCTCCCAAGTGACCTTTGCCCCACAGGTCAGTAGTTAAGTCACCCATTCTCTCCACCTCCTTTCATCATGCAGCCTTCAAAGAACAAAAGTCAGATCTGCCCTGCTCACACTACTTTAGCCATGGTCACTGCATATCATTCCCCAGCAGCAAAGAAATGTGTGGGAATTGGTTAAATACTGGAAGATTAATTACTAAATAGTTCAAGAATCATATGCCTCTGAAACACAAGTCCTGCACCTTTCACCTCATGCTCTGATCAAGGCGCTAGGATGGATCTTAGTGTCCTAAAACAATCTGTTCTGCCATTTAATTTGGCATATCCTGTGAGTCTTCCTCCATGATGCTCATTGTACACTCCTCCTCCCTGATTTAGAGTAGGTACAACAAACAAGGCTGCTGAGCACATGCCTCACCACAAAGTCTTCCTCAGCAAGGGCAACATTCCAGAAACAAGGCACCATGCTGATCTAGAATCATACTGTGTCTTGTCCAGTACGATGTGAACACAGTGTGTTCACATCAGCAGAGATCTGAATCCACTGAATTTCAGGCCAAAGCCCTATCTGCAGACCTGCCCTTCCTCTAACCACAGGCTGGCCATCACTAGGATTCATGCATAAGACTGCAGCATTCTTGCAAGATACAGTTGCAAGCCCAAATATCCAAATTCAGTTACATTCCATAGCCACAAAGGGGATACTGAGGAAGTGGACATGATGGACAGTACCCTGCACTCTTTGTTGCTGGTGATGTATGGGTTACTTTTAGGGGCAGTGCACAGTGACAGTGCACCTCTCCTGCTATCAGTTCTCTTAGGCTCTAGGGTAGCTGAAGAGTGGCAGAACTTGTCTCTTAGTGCCCAGCCTCTGGAGAATATAATCCTCCTAATTTTAACTGAAATATGAATCTGTATTCTGTCACTGATCCCGTTAGAAATTCCAAGTACAGGAATTTCTCACTAAGATTTCTGCATCACAAACTCATGGGAGGACATCTCACACACCCCTCTGCAGAATTACCATGGGTTGGAGGAGACCATGACTCTTTTTACTTTGCATCACTTCTTTTGTTACCAGGAGATACCAAAGATGCTTCTAGAAAATACCACTTTACCTGGTATTCCTTGCAATATTGACAGCCATATCCTCACAAAAAAAAAAAAAAAAATTACAAAGGGTAAAAGAATGCTATTCACACAACTCTATTTAGCACCATTAGTCACAAGAGGATAGCAGGATCCTTAAGACTAGGGACATTTTTGTCATTTATACTAAGGGTCTGCCACTGCAGAAACCTGTATGAGATATTTTTCAGTCATCTCCAAATGACTTGGAACATCTCAACGGCACAGTTTCCATTATCTCACAGCACTGTGTTAACATGGCTGTGCCATGCCCACTTCCAGAGGAGGCATTGCCCCATGATCTCCAGCACACAAACTTATTTGGCATTACCTGCTGTAAGCAGAGGGTCCTCTCTAAGGTGGCATTGCCTTGCTTAGTATAAGTACATACTGGACATCACATATAAATACATTTTAAACCTCACATTTGCTGATTACATGACTTTTATACATAATCCCTTGAGAAGATACCTTTCTGAGGCACATTTTGTACAGAAATCCCTCTCTTGGTGTATCACAGAAGATTGTCAGGGATGTGAGACATTCAATCAGTCATGAAACTGACCCTGTGTGCCAGTGATTTCCCATCTCTTCCTCACAACTTTTGCATCTGCCATCTTAGTGTTCCCCTTCTTCTCCCAGCCTCATATTCAGTTGGGGATTAGGTTATTCCCACCAGATGTTATCCAGAAAGAACAGCTTTACATCCTAAACTGCCCTCAAATTTGAATTAATTTTTATATCTGAACCTGGACTCCTGTTTGAATCTGTAGGTTGTGCCTGTCTGAACAACTCAGATAACAACTGATTCAGAGTCCAAATGAATTCTTTAGAGTGACTTATGCTTTTTAAAATGGAGTTGATTATAATCTTTTCAATTGTGAATATTTGGAGGAGATAAATAACAGTGTTGCACAATGAAATTTTAGTTATCTGTCTTTTTCAAAATCTTCCTAGCATGTAGGCTGAAATGTAATTCAACCAAAAAGGGTAAGAAATAGTAATAAACAAAAAATTCCTGTCATTCTTCATTGTCTGACAATGTTGTTTCTACCACCAAGATTCATGCATAAGAGACAGTAGAAAAATCCTCTACTGGGAATTATATTTTAATGCTTTTGGAGTCTTCTACCAAGTGGGATGGAAATGTAAAACAAAAGTTTAGAGAAATTTAGAAAAGACAAAGATTAGTTGCTTAAATAATTTATTTGGAATATATTAGAAGTTAAATAACATCATAGAGCACAAAACGTTATCAGTTACTCCGTATGCATTCATGATTATACAGACAAGAAATCCCCAAAACACAAAGAAGAAACCTGACCAAAAAAAAAAAGTCTTTGGTAGATAGATTAGTGAGATACTTGCTGAGAGTGAGAGCAGGGAGCTTCTAAATGGAAAGGAGATCAAAGAAAGCGCAGATAGGAAACAAAGCAATAACAAGAAGGCAAGGGGTTTTTTAGCACAGAAAATACAACAAGCATGTTACAAAATTGCCAGGTTTTCTTTCCCTTCCCCTGGATGACAGCTTTTCACAAGATGTTTTGCCTTGCCTTGGTGACTATGTGTTTCCTGGGACAGCAATTGACTGATAGACCAAACAGCACCACCACACCTCACCAATAAGTGTCATGATTTACTTGGACTAATCTGTTCTGTTGTAACTCCAGTGAGCCAGCAGAAAGCTGGGAGGAGGACTTGGCTCATTACCTCGGAGGTGCTGCTGTGCACAGAAGGCTGTGGCTCCATTTAGTCCCATTAAAGTGGGCAGAGGCAATGAGAAACAAGCCATATGAAGGACTCTCAGTGCCTTTTCACTCAGCTGCCCTCCAGTGCAGTCCTGACAGCTCACAAGCACAGGGATAAGCAAACTGACTATAAGAGTGTTCAAAACCAAAATCAAATCAATAGGAACCCTTTCAGTTTTTTGGTTTTTCCATTTCTTTTTTGTCAAACTCTGTCCATTGGCATGCCTGTGCCTTCCAACACCAGTCCTGGACGGGGTGAGCTGTGTCCTTGGTCTTTGCCAATGCTCAGGACAGCCCAATATACCCATAGCAGGAGCCAGCCCTGGCTTCTTTGGTGCTTCTGGTGCTTGGTGAGGCTTTGAAAGGCAGCTCAGCTTCGGGTGCCAAATCCCCTCATGCAGAAGGCCTGTACATGTTACATGCACAAACCCTATCTCTGCTTTCTGAAGGCACCTCATTGTCTATGAACAAACAGAAACAGCCCAGCAATGTGCCTCAGCCTAAGGAAGCTACATTTATTCAACAGTCCTGAACAATTGTCCTTTCTAAGCTTTGACATATACCTTGGTCCACATGGAAATCCAAAGGACTTGTCAGCGGGATCTGACCGGGAAAGCATTCTACTTCAAGCCAGCATCATTTTTTCTGCTGCTCTGGGCTGCTTTGTACCTCACATGAGCAGCCCAGGCCTTTTATGGCACACACTCAACCAGGAAATTAAATTGGTTTTTTTGAACAATAACATAAAATCACCTTCATGAAACCTCTTTCAACCTGCTTATCATCCAAACACCAATGAGCATGATGGCTGGTGTTTCTCCCTATAGGGAAATGACTTGCTGGATGAAATGGAAGACATTTATACCAATATCTTTGTCCTTGCTCCGTCAGCCCATTTGGGATAGCATCCAGGTGGGAGAACCTCAGCTACAGCAGGGAAAACCAAGGAGTTTAAAGGCAGTCAGCTGGATATGCAAAGACATTTAGCCACCAACCTCTTTTTGATGGTCTTTTAAGGCATCTGGAGCATAGCTGACCATCATCCTTCACATGCACACTGGCACTGCTACAAAGGAGATTTACTCTGCCTATTGAACCCACTCAAACTCATCTACGACTATGTCTTCTTTAAGTTTAAATTGGTACTTTGCTTTAACCTAACATTTAAATTTATTTAACACATTTTGCTCTGACACTAGAGATCCCTCCAGTGTGATGTAGTCAGGTTCAAGGACTAGGACTTGCATTCTCAAAAAAAAGAATCAAGCTGGAAATAAGATTCACAAGCTCAAGGGTGAGTGCAGTTAGCCCCTGGAAAAACTGGTGGAGGACTGTGTCAAATATCACATACCTCAAAATCTTTCACTACCAAGGCCAGATGTGTCTTAGACAAATTTTGTGGTGTAGTCATCATTCTTCATCTCAGTAGTGTTTCCTTGAATTAGCATGGGAGAATAATCTCTTTCCCTGTCAGAAACACTGATTAAGTTTCTACAGCCTGATTTATGGAGCAGATCTGGGTAGAAGGCTCCTCTGGCTTGGACTCTGCTTTGACAACAGTGAGTCCTTCCAAGTTCCCAGGGACTGCAAGTTCTCCCTCTGAACCTCCAAGTTTCTGGATGACCAAGGATTTCCTTTCCTATTAAATAAAAATGCATACCAAATACAATAGTAATAAATATGAATAAATATACACAATACATAGAGGAGCAAAAGGAGAGGGACTATCAAGACTAGGACCAAGACTGCACATCTCATTGCTTGCTAGGGAGATGATGTCTCTGACCAACACTCTGCTATATTGCTGCTCATGCCAGGACACGAGACACCACAGTTTTCAATCAGTGGCAACTCCTCCATGCTTTGCAAGTGTGGAGCTTGGTGGAAGAACCCCAGGATGCTGCTCCGAGCTGCCACTGCCGTCTGCTGCAGGCCTGGCTCCCCCAGGACCTTGACAAGGAAGTTGATGTATCTCATGGCTAAACGGAGGGTCTCGTTCTTGCTCAGTTTTTTGTCTGGTGGGTGGGTGGGAATGAGTTTCCTCAGCTTGGCAAAGGCGCTGTTCACATTTTGCTGCCTCCACCTCTCCCTGGTGTTGGTGAAGATCTTCCTTGTCATGCTTAAGGTGCTGAAAAGCAAAGGAGATGGTCAGTGAACTCCAGATAGCCCTGGCTTTCACACAGGTTGCTACTCTGGGGGGGCTCTGTAGCCTCTGGGCCAGTGGCAACCCTGCAGTGGTGGTTCTAGGCTCTAATTTTTGCCTTCTGTGGCTGATGCCTTTGTCCTGCATGTCCTGCACAGATTTGCCCTAATGACTGAAGTTATGTCCCCATTTACAGCCATGATTATTAGCACTGCAGTTGCAACCAGATGCCAGATTTCAGTAAAAACTTCCCAAAGGAGTTAAAGGAATTTAATTTCCTCATACAACCATTTGGCACTGCCACAAGCCCAGCTTCTCCAGGTTCTTGAGAGCTTTCCTGAAACAGAATTCCCAACAACCAATCCATTTGTCATCCCACCAAACTGCACGAGAGCCACACTGACGCTTTTGATGAAGAAAGGCAGGTAGGCCCAGTGCAGAACACATCCATGCTTTCCCAGCCTCATTTCACAGCTCCCTGGGGTCTGCTCCCAGCTGGCCTAGGCTTGGTGACTGAAACCAAGCCAGGCAGAGCTTCACTGTGGGCCCTCAGTGAGCAGACAGCCAACACTGCAGGCATGTGTGACTGTGGTTATTTCAAGAGACTTCTTCAGGGAAACAACAGTCTGGTTCCCTGCCCAGCCCACACTGGCTGCTCATGGCTGGTGGCAGAGACTCTTCAGGTCTGATTCATTCAGGATTCTGCTTCAACCCCTGAGAGATGCCAAGACTAAGCCACAAGTGCTGTGAGTGCGTGAGGGAAAGTGTGATTCCTAGAAAACATGCTGGGATTCCAGCTAAAACGTCTGCCTAGGTGTTACCTGCCCACCCTGCCCCACAGAGCCAAGCAAAGGGAACCCAGTCACCAGAGCAGACCTGGCAACAGAGCAGTACTAAGAAAGGGGTGCGCAGGGATTTTAAATGCCATTTACCAGAAAGATGCTCCAAAGATCTTTGGGTTGCCCTAACCCTTCTCTCACCACCACTGGAAAGTGTCTTCCCTTCTCTCCCACAGTCCTGGAGAAGACACATCTCCATTTCTGAAGCAGCATTTTGTGCCAATGGCACTCAGACAGTTGGAGCAGGGAAAAACTATCCACAGCCAAGATACTAAAGGACAAGTGTTTCCACTTACCCCCTTATGCATGTGAAAACACCATCTTTTTATATTCATTGGCAAACTCTTCCATATAGCATTCCCACGGGGGAATGGAGAGCGGAGGGAATAGCACCCTTCACCCCCAGGAAGAGATAATTTCAAAATGACAGGCCAGCTGTGATCTCGTTTCCATTTGAAGGAGCCTCACACCATGCAAAACACTTAGGGTTCAACAAAATACAGAGCAATAGTCCCAGTGAATAGAGAAAAACACAGGTTAATTGGGATGCCCTGTGAGGGAGCCAAGGCAGGAGAGTTCCTGCCCAGCTCCTTCAAGTTGCAGTCCAGCACTGATTACCCACTGCCAAGGAAACACATTTGCAGCACTATAAATCATGTCTCAGTTGTGTTCAGAGATCTCCAGTCAGAGATGTCGCCAGCACAGGCACACCCTTGTACACGGTATATGGCTCACACCATCACAGCCTCACGGGCTCTTTTTGGCCATGGCCTTTATACTGCTGACACATTTCTATTTTGGTAGAAGTCTGAAATTACTGTCATGCCTTTAGGGGACGAGAAAATTGTCTCAGCAAAATGTCCTTGCTTCAGGAGAGGCTCATTTAAAAACCAAACCCTCATATTTCAGGTTGCTGAGAGTTTTTGTTATGTTTTTTAGATTTACATTAAGACCCACTGCTTGATCCAAATGGGGATTGTATCTCTCTCTTTTTTTTTTTTTTATTCTTTTTTTTTTTTTAAATATTATTGTCCTACTCCATGTATCATTTTTGGTTTGTGCTGGGGGAATAAATCTGCTTGGTGCTTTGCACCTACCTGAAACATGTTGCATGTACCTTTGCGGCAAGAACACTGCCACATTAGCGGTACAGATTTTAAACACTGTCTTCCAGCAGTGCTCCTCTGTAACACAATGTGTTGGCTGCCCAAGGCAAAACTTTTGCCTTCACAGATTTATTCTTCCGAACAGCTGCTCGGATCCATGTGAAATTCAGAGTGCCACCTGCTTCTCTCTCTTTCTTCTGTTTTGGTGTTTGTGTTGTTGTTTGTTTTTTTCCTTCCCTTTTTTTTTTTTTTTAGAGACATATTTATCTGTGTACAAAGGTAGTTACTTTTTATAACATAGGGAAAGGTATTTGGGCTTTTGGATTGCATTTTGCCTGGCCTTTTGGTCTCCACAATGTAATTCTAGTATGTGGGTCAGCGTTTGCTGGATACCTGATTACATCTCAGTTATAAATACCAACAGAACAGAACGTCTACTCTTCTTTCTCCTGCTGCACACAGTCCCCAGCACAGCTCTCCAGGAAAGCAGGTTAACATTAGCCCTGGTGCTGTGAGCATGCCATCTTGTCCTGTTGGTGGTATTATCGGTGGAAAAATAAACGCAGCCTACTCCTTCACGCCATGGTGTCTTTGTCTCTCTTCTCTTGCCCCTGGAAAGGACAACACTACGTTTGTGGTCACAAGCCTTGTCAGCAAACAGCTGCCTTTGTGAGACCAGCTCCCGCTTTGCACTTCAAAAACGTATGGTTTTGTTTCTGACATTTATTCAAGATCAGCAAACGACAGCTCCTTCCTTTCCCAGAGCTCCTAATAGCTCTATGGGGAGCTTTGTTTCAGGTGTAACCCACCTCCATACATCTCTCCTCCTTAAATTCCTCTCCTTTCTACCTTCACTGGTGTGGATTTCCTGTTATTGTGCTTGCAGTTTCAGCTAAACACAGGAGAAAAATTATCCTGGTCCAATCCTGCAGTAACTGTAGTGTTTCAGCACAGCCTCTTTTCTCTATCAGTCACCTACACATCCTTTGAGTTCTCTGTAACCACAGCACCTTCCATTTAAAATGCAGCCAGTTTACTGACAAGGGATCTGATTTCCATTTCTTTTGTCTCATTCCGTTCCTTCCTTCCTTCTCTCCAACCCTCCCCACTAAGCTTGTCTGTCGGTGTGATATTACTTGAAGCTTCAGGTCTTTGCTAATTTTGCACATCTGAGCATCTTTAGCTTTCTCTGACGCACTGTATAAAACACCACCTAATGGCTGTATGCAGCTTACATCCCTGCCGTAGATTTTCTTGTTTTAAAGCAAAAAAAAACCTGCTTTGAATTTTTCCCTTTACCGCTGTGAAAGAAAGGTGTTGAGGGAGGGAGGGGGGAGGAGGCGGCCAGAGTGAGCCACACGCACAAAAGGACTAGTTAAATGGCCGCACATTCCAGGCTAATGACTTTGGGAAGACCGGAGAGAGAGAGAGAGGGAAGGGAGAGGTGGCAGCTTGTATCTAGGAGATACTTGATTTTTGGGGAGTTATTTTTCCTTTTTTGGCTTATTTGAGAGGAGCCTGGGGAGGGGCTGGATGGGTTCGGCTGGGCTCTGCCCCTCCGGGAACGCGGGGGGCGTGTGCGTGTGGTGAGGAGGGCTCGGAGTTCATCTCCTCGCCCGGGTGGCTGGTTTCTCCTGCTCCCCCCACCCCGAGGGAGGTCACGGTGTGCATCCGAGTCCTCACACTCTGTTCTGCCGCACTGCCTGGACTTCGCCTCGAATTCACCGAAAAAGCCAGCGCGGAGCCTTTGGGGAGAAAGGCCGCCCTTCCCCTCCTATTTTTTCCCGTGACGGCAGCAGCCGGCACCCTTTGACGAGGCAGAGAATCCACAGGCAGAGCGAGCCTTTGCCAGGGTGAGCCCACAGGAGAACCCGCCCTCGCCTTTCCCCCCTTCCCGCTCCCCGGCCCCCCTCGGCTCCTCCCGCCGCCTGGGCCGCCAGCGCCCCGCGGCGCCCCCTGCCGGCCCGGGGAGCTCCCGCAGACCCCGCCCCTCCGGAGCCCCACGGCGCCCCCTGCCGGCCCTGAGGGGGCACCGCAGCCGGAGGGGCGGGATTGTTCCCGGCGGGAGGGAGGTTGGTTACGGGACTATGGCTTTGGGGGGGTTGTTGTGTTATCTAGAGATAGATATATAGGTATATAGATATCCGTTCTCTAGTAAAGACCTGATATTTTTCTTTTCCACGCCTTTCGACTGGAGCCTCTTGATTTCGAAGTTCTAATTACTCAGAGGGAGGAGCTTGGGTTTGTTTCCCGTGTTCCACCCTCCTGGCTAAACATTTCTGTCTCCTTTAACTGAGACAGTCCCACTGGTCTGTTTTAATTCTGTGCAGAAATCACCTGTTTGTACATACAATGGACAGATTTATTGCATTAACCTGCAGGCTTGGACTCCGTACTTTCTTCTCACCTTCTCTAACCACAGAGTAACAGCCCCACATTTAGCTGACAATTAAAAACCCAGGAAGGCAGCATCTTAAGTTGGAGAGGATTAATCCTGTTTTCAGGAATGTAAATCTGGAAGTTTACACCGTTTCCACCGGGGGAATTACTTTGAAGGACAAGATTTTGCACTTTCCATTTGAAGGCAGGATTTAACTCAGATCAAGAAGGGACATCCAGAAGTAGTAGGTAAATGCAGTTTCATGAGCTGAGATCACGTCTGCAGCATGTAAAGAGAATTGTGCAAAGGAACAACTCCAGCCCAGCAATGAATCTGCTCCACCAACCAGAAAGAGAAAAAACAAAGGGAAAACAAGCCACCACCCACCAAACAGATAAATGACGCTCTTTCCACCCACTGCCTACCCATTTGAAAAATATAAGAACGGGTTGTGGGCGGAATGCTGGCTGTGTTTAATGCAGCCGCGACTGTCGCCAGACAAAAGACTAAACCACAGAAAGATGAAGATCTCTCCTGAAGCAGCAGTTCTCACAGCCTTTCTAACGCAAAAGCCTTACAGGCAATTCAGGCAGCAGCAGAGGAGCTCAGGCACAAAGCTCATCTCTGCTAGACATTCCCCAGCAAACAGCCCCCGAGCCA